GCTCCCGCACAGGATCCTGTAGACACAGGACTAAGCAGACACAGCTGAGTGACTTACCCGCCAGGAAGAGCACATATGCACTAATAGCACATCTGGTCATGATTGGTGTGGATCCTGAAAAACAGGAGCTCTCTCGGCCATTGCTTCAGGGATGGGGAAAGTGCTAGAGTTCCAGAGAGACCCCAAAGAGAACTCTGCTTTGGGGGCTTCTTCTGTGTTCTAGGAGGTAAGTGAGGCTCAGAGTGGAGAAGCAGCTTGTGGAAGCCTGCCTAGCTTTGCAGAAGTGTATAGACAGCAAGAACCCAGGGCCTTCTGACTTCATACTGCTAGCCTGCCATTTGGGGGAACATCTATCCTCCCTCAAATGCAAGAGGTGGCAAGCCTCTGGAGTCCAGTCCCCTGACCATGTTCTTCCTGCCCAGAACCCCACACTTGTTATAGCATAATAACAGTTACTGAAATGCTGCAATCAGAGATACATGAACTTCCACAGTGTCCCCTTGATCGGGTGGAGCCTTCCAGATGTCACACCTCACTCAGGCTTTAGTGTGATTCTTTTTAAATTTTTGTGTTACTTTCTAAAATTAGTTATGTTATGGGGGTCGGAGATGGCTTGTGTGCCATAGTGCATTTGTGGAGATCAGAGGACAACTTTTAGGAGTTGGCTCTCTCCTTCCTCCACGGGGGACCTGGGGATTGAACTCAGGTCAACAGGCTTGGTGCCAAGCACCTTTACCTGCTGAGCCCTCTCCCTGGCCTGGGGTTTGTTTTGTTGTTAGGAGTAGAGGACACTGTAGGGGAATCTTTAGTGACCGGTGCCAGTTGCTGTTCTGGAAGACTAGCGGTTAGTTGTCTTGTCTCCCTGAGCCTTCGGTGAGGGACTCCACACTCAAGTATCCACAGCAGGACCTCTGTGTTACACCAACACTTACCAGATTATGGTGGAAACAGTGTTTGTGACGGCTTCTGCCCGGTCTATGCAGTCACTTCAGCCATCCCACTGTCGTGCCTGTCACACGCCTCTTGTGTCCCCACGTCATAGCCTCTACATTCGCTGTCCTGCACTTCTTCCCGATCTCCAACCAGCCTCCCCACAACCGCACTCAGGGCTCTGTAAATGCCACTTCCTCAACGAGCCTGTCCTGAGTTCACCATGCGCACGGCCCCTCATGCTACCCATCTGGTCACACATCGTCTTCCTGATGATACCAATTACCGTGTGAACTGCTGTGTCATCGACGGCTTACTCTACGGTGCCCCTCCTCCAGGAGAGAGACAGCTCCACAGAGGAAGACACTGGGTCCTTCTGCTTCTCTGCTAAACCCGTGGCATGAATGCTTGCAGGGACTGCGTCTGCTTCTGCTAATAAACTGATAAAGAATGAAGGGAGAAAACTTGCCTTATTCTACCTCTTATTTGTGAACTCAAACCTTTCAGGAGAAGGATTACAAGGATGAATGCTTGGAGCCAGGGGGACCTGCCGTCACTGAGGAACGCTCAACCTCAGAAGCCAGCAATAATTCTCCATGGCTTCAACAAAGGACGGGTGCCCTTCAGAAGGTAGAGCCTGGGTGAAGGCTTAAGCCATTAAAATAAATAACCTGGCTGTGTGCAGTGGCCCACTCTAGAGGCTGAAGCCAAAGGGAGTAAAGTTCTGAGGGCACCGTGAACTACATAGCAGGTTTGAGGCCGGCCAGAGCTACATGGTAAGACCCGATCTCCACAGAACAAAACATGAAAAAGTAAAATCAAATAATATGCCAGGGGCTGTGTGTGGAAGGGTGGTGGTGTGTGCCATATATGGTGTGGGGTATGTGGGTGTCCCGCGCTACCGTCTCGCCAGCAAGAACGACGCGGCACACTTAGGATCCTTCTGCAGAACAGCTTTAATGTGTCTTGAGAGGGAGAGCATAAGCTTACAGAGTGGAGACCCAGGGAGCGAAAAGCCCAACCCTTATATAGCTCAGCAGTCCCCGCCTCGGACGTGTCATCTCCTGACTGGCTCCTGCTCGTCAGCCCATATGACGCCACGGGAGAGGCAGAGAGTAAGAGATGGAAAAATAGCAGGCACGTGCGCACCAAGGTTGTTTACTCCAACCGACAACGGGTGTCAGCGCCATCTTGTAACGGAGAATGTGGGGGCGGCTCCCCACATGTGGGAGTGTGTGATATATGTGGTGTGGTGTGTACGTGCTGTGTCGTATGTATGTGTAGGGATATGTGAGTGTGGCGTATGTGTATGGTGTCGGAAGGTGTGGGATGTGTGTAGCAGGGGTGATGTGATGAGGTGTGGAGTGGGGGGGAGTTGAAGGGGGATAAAATGTGTGTATGTTCAGATACCTGTGGATGTCATAGGCAATTAAGAGAGATTTGCAAACAACTTTTAAAGCATTAGCAAGCTTGAGAGACAGCCTTACACAAGCAAGAGGATCCATCCTCTTCATTGGGATATAGAATCAGAAAGAGTTTTGTGATGAATCCAGCTGACCAAGAAACCTGTGGAGGAGGAGAAGGAGAAGGTATTCCAAACAGCGGAGTAATCTGGACAAAGTCATGGAATGATGACTACTTCTGGGACACAGAGGTGGCAGAGGCAGACTCCTGTGTGGTCCCTATGCTAGTAAGGCATACTAGTGACCATCTGAGAGGTAGACAGCCTCAGGTTGTGTTAGACAAACCCAAGTTCAAGGACTGACTCTGCACCAATTCCATCCTCCCTGGCTTCACCCCCTAAAAAGCAAAGGGCTATGAGGAAGATGGGTAGAAGCACCCTCTCCCGTGGGTGCCCTCGGCAAGGTTGGAGGATAGCACCTAGAAGCTCTGGGGAGGCTTGTGTTTACAGAGAAAACACCAAAACTGCTGTATCTTTGCTCCAGCTCGCTGGAACCACAATATTTATTTGGAATTTGGAACTCATTAAGAGTGGCTGTGAAGTGTTTACTCAGGGTAACTTGGGTTATCAAGAGAGGGAGAAAGTTTGGCTGAAGTGACCTTGAAATCCCTTCTGAACCTTCACTGTGCCAGGGGTCTGCAACACAGGCAGGGAGATGCTGTGAGACCTGGAAGTTGCTGTTGGTCCCCAGCTCCAGCTCAGACTTTGCCGTTCAGTTTAAAGTCCTGGGATGTCTGGAGGTCAGATGCTTCCTTCCCAACACCCTGGTACCACAGGCTCGTGGGATTATCTCAAATAAGCAGGTGCCTGGCATACAACAGGACCCAGCCCAGTACAAAGCTGTACACAAAGCTGCCAAGACTTCCGTCAGTATTCTACTCCTTGGTCATAATAAGGTCCTCCTGAATGCTTCCCATGGGATGCCTCCCCCCATACACACACCATCAGGTCTCGTTTATAAGGAGATACAGTGTGGGTTTGGGCCTTAGGACACAGCTTCAGTGAATTTTGGAAATTTAAGGTATGTGCTTGGAACCACTCCAAAGTTAAAAATCATAAAAAACTAAAACATTTAAAAATTATCCTTAAAAATATTATCCACTGTGTTTTGATGTCCATCCGTTCTGCTTTCCCAACCCTGGCTTTCTGCATCTAACTGGAAACTTAAAATGCAAAAACCAAAGTTGAAATGACCAGAACATCTAAACAGTGAACATTGAGGGATGTGTCTGCCAGACAATCTACAGTCTACATCCCTAGCTCTTAGGACAGGACTCCAGAGAGGGAAATAATTGTGTGACAAATACAGTGATGGCCCTTAGTTCTGGGACCCACAGTGAGAGCGGTCTTCAGGGCAGTTAGTGTGAAAGGCCTGAACCTAAGCATTAGCAAGCTCAGCCTATTTCATAGGAGTTCCCCAGGCACAACAGTAAAGAGCTCAGGGTTGGGCAACTCCACTAGACTAAGTGCACCATCCAGAGCCATCGCCACTCTTCAAGTAAGTAAAGCACACAGGAAGAGAATGGCACCAATGAGTACCTACTGTGTGCAAGGTGCCTTATGTAGATCGTCTTACAATGCGAGGCTCACTGAAACCTGTAGAAGAAGCCCCTGTGTTTGCTGAAGAGGTGACTCCGAATTGTGCCACTACTGGCTGCACCCCTATCTCCTTCCTCAGCACCTTGAGACCTGTGGGCACCAGGACATCCTACTTTGTACCTGCATGCCTTTACACAAGTCATTTAACCTCTCCATGCCTCTATGTCTCCTAGTGAAGCAGAATGTTAAGACAGCGCTGGCCAATGGTTTCCATCCTGTGCACGAACCTTGTGAACTTGCCAGATGCTGGAGCTCACCTTATCCTGACCGCCACCACCCAGTGTCTGAAGAAAGTGCACTTGGCAGGGTCATCCGGTTCTTAATTGGCCTGAGAGTCCTACTTAGACCTGTCTACTAACAATAACAAGTGAAACAGAACACTTCATTGTTGTTTAAATATCCTAGGCTTTATAGATATGTATATATTCAGTTTTCAAAACAATTATATGAGGTAAGTGTTGCCAACCCCAATTTAACGATGCAGAAAGTAAGACTGAGGGAGATCAGGTCATGTTCTCAAGATTATAGAGTTGGTGACTGAAGAGCAGTCAGGCCCTACCTCAGCCCCTGGGACTGGCCAGAAGACTCAGACACTGGGCTATGCTGTATTTAGCCAACCTGGAGCAGTGACTGTATCAGAGACAGACAGCAGACACGCATGCACACACACACAAACATACACATGTGCATTCTACACCAGGGAGGTCTTAGAGGAGGAAGCAGGCAGGTTCCCACAGAAGAAATTATCTGGAGAAAGACTATTGCCCACCAGCTAAACCCATAACACTAGGCTCAGCTGCTCTGGTTGTTCAGAGTGAACCCCCCCCCCCAAAGTACCTGAGAGACTGAAATCTCCTCTCTTGCTCTCAGCCCATGTGGTCAGGCCTGGGTTTAGGCAACTGTGCACAGGGCATCAAGTATATTTACAGCGTGGAGGAAAGTGTAGAAACTGCCAGGATTTTCTCTGTATCTCCTAGTTTCAGCTAAAATGATTTTGAGTTTTACAGTCTTCCTCATAACTATTTTATTAAGAATGTATATTTGTAACTTGAGGACTAGGCTGTCACACAGGAAGACCAGCCCGTGGCTTACAGTATGGTTCAGTCTTTATTTGATGCACCCACGAGAGCTCAGAGGGTCCATTCTGCCTCTAGTCCGGCTCTTAATCATCATGGTCCAGTTTTTACCCCCACTCTCTACCACAGGTTAGTCAGTACTTTTACAATGTCATTGATAACACACAGGGTGGAAGAATGGCTTGAGCTCTGCAGTTGTACACATTCAGTTAGAATTTCTCACTCTGGAGTTTTTGAGGGAAGGCGGCGGCAGGAACTCGGTAGCTGTGCAGGAGTCACGGAGCCAGACTCTGGCTCTACCTCCTGCATGGCTGGCACAGAGGGCTAGACCTGTGGGGACCTGCCGCTGAAAGCCCAGGCTTTGTTTACATATGGAGCCAAGGGTGGAAACTGGCCTTGTATGGATGAAACGCTGGAGGGCCACTGGGGGAGGCAAAGAGAAGCAGCCTGATAAGAATCTGCGAGTAAGTACGTGAAAGAATGCACTGAAACTCCCTCCCAGGATCACAGAAACCCGACCGAAATTCGACCTTAGGGACCCGCCCGCATGCCCCATCCTGCTGGCTAGACAAGCAACCCGAGGCTAAAATGGCTTTTGAACTGTCTCCAGGCCAGGCCACCTGCCTCCTCTGTGGGCGCGACTGTAGGGCAGGGGGTGTAAGCCTGTTAGAAGGGAACCTCGCTTTCCTGAGCACCTACTAGAAGTACTGTTTCAACTGTTACCTATTTTGATTCATTCCCATTTCTCATCTGGGAAAGCGCGGTGCCGGATAGGCTAAGTCGCTTGCCCAATGGAGTAGCTTGAGTCCAAATTTAACGCTGTCCCCACCTTTCCCCACCCAATGGCGATGCCCAGATAGGCGCCAGAGCAGACATACGACGTGCCAGTGTCTCTGAGCACCGTCGCCGCCACCCCCACCCCCACCCCGAGGCAGGGTCATTCACCTGTGGATCCACTGGTCTGCAACTTACTGGCCCCACCCGCTCGGCGGATTTCCGGAAGTTATGCGCCCGCCCAGTGACTGCTGACCCAGAGACGCTGGTCCTGTCCTACCCATGGCGAGCTTTATTCAGAAAGCACTTACAGGTGCACCCCTTGGGCGCAATTCTCTAGTCTGTATCCGGTCCGGAAGCGATGGAAACTGGTCCTGCCACAGAGTTCTGGGTAGGGCCCTGCCCACGCCCACCCCACTGCTGCCCCAAACAGGTTTCTTCACTTTCCCTGTACTGACTCTGGCCCCAGGCAGGGAAAGGAAGCCGATTACTCAATGTGCCCCAGGATTGTTCTGGTTCCCAAGAGAACTAGCTACCAGCCAATCAGCCAGTTGGACCCTAATGAAGCCATGGCAGGTTCTAGGGCTACAGCTCCTAGGGCCACCCAGCAAAATTTTAGGGTCCTCAGGTGACTTCTGTGCTCTGTGCTCAACAGAGCACCAGGGTGTAAAGTATGCCAGAGGGCAATATTGGCTTGCCAAGCCAATCTGTTACTGGGCCACCATAAGTTACTACACCAGAGCAACTTTTCTGGAAGCTGCAGCTCCTTTGTTTCAGAGGGCTTGGCTTGAAGAAAACCCAAGCAAGTAGTGGAATGCATTTATTCCAGAGTGTAACACAACTCTAGCCACCAGGGCTACCAGCTTGACCCAAATATATCCTTGTCCTCAGAAGTCCCATCCTAATGAGCATGAGAGGCTTCAAATCATCTTGAAAGGAAGTGATATACACAGTCATAGCACCCAGACCCCTCCCCCATCATGATTGAATTACAAATACTACTCAGTAGGTTTTACTATGCCTAAAACCAGCATAGATGTCTAAGACACATTATATCCGGTACAGCAACTACAATTGGGATGTTGTTAGAGGTGAAAAACTAGTTGAGGGAAATGGAAAGGTTTGCCCAAAATTCTATCCAGGTCTCTCAAATCTAAGTCAGTCTCCATCTTAGACGCCCAGCTTCTGTCACAGAGTTGCCTGACCACAGCTCTGAGGCCAGTGCTCCTGGCTGTACAGTCCTCAAGACACCCAGAGTCCCTCTGATGAGATGAAACAGCACTCTACAACTTCCAAGGGTGCTTTGGCGTTATTCCCTGGTCACTCTTCTTCCCTTGAGTCCCAGCATCTGCACCTGCTCCAGCCTGGGAAAGAACACGGCATGTGAGGCCATCCCTGTTCCAGTGAGCGACCCTCTTGAGGAACAGGCATGTAGGGACAGGTCCTGTCATCCACAGATGTCTCCACAAACAAAACAGTTTGGCAATTACACATACCCTTCGCCGAAGTTCCTGCAATCTCCCTGAACTCCAAGGAACTGCTACCCACTCTAGCGTCACCGCAAGAGCTGCCTGAAGGTACTTGCATTGACTTATTTACCTAACCTCTATTTTAGCCCCCATGACATGCCTGTCATGGAACTCTGAGCTACTGATGCTCTCTGGGGCCTTGGAACCTCTTCAGCCACCTGAGATGAAGGGAGCCCCTGGAACAATGTTGTATGAACCTAGAAGTCCCACAGAAGCAGGCACCATCACTCAGTAACTGCTGAGCAGGGGTGGGCTGACCCATGCTGTCCTCACCAAATATATGTTACGTTGGTTACGTTTTGTCTACTTGGCACTAGAGTCACTTGGGAAGAGGAAACCTCAGTTGAGTAGCCTTCATCAGATTGGTCTGTGGACATGTCTGTGAAAACATTTTCTTGATTTCTAATGAAAATGGGAAGGCCCAACCCATTGTGGGTAGAACCATCCCTGGGCAGGTATATATAATATATATAATGTAGCTGAGCAACCAGAGAAAGCAAGCCAGTAATAAGTGCTACTCCATGGTCTTTGCTTCAGTTCCTGTCTTGAGTTCCACCCCTGACTTCCCTTGATAAAATGGACGGTGTCCTCTAAGCCAGTGGTTCTCAACCTTCCTAAAGCTGTGACCCTTCAATACAGTTTCTCACGTTGTGATGACCCCAACCATAAAATTATCTTTGATGATACTTCACAACTGTAGTTTTGCTGTTATAAATCATAATGTAAACATCTGCGTTTAGCAGTTGTCTTAGGCAACCCCTGTGGAAGGGTCATCCCAACCCTGAGGGGTTGGGACCCATAGGTTGAGAACAGCTGCTGAAATAAAATCCTTCCTGTTGCTTTTGGTCACATTGTGTATTACAGTGACTAGGACACGTGTCTGGTGCTGGATACCTAAATACCAAATAAACCATTCATTTCCTACAGACTGCTTCAGGTCTTCCAGTTAGACAAAAGAATCATGATCTCAAGAGACAATCTAGGAAAAATAAAAGGAAGGAAGGAAGGAAGGAAGGAAGGAAGGAAGAAAAGACAAAGCAAAGGCTTCTTCCCCAACTCCCCCTCCTTTTGTATGGAGGGAGATTCAGCCCCCAGAGAGTCTGGAGTCAACTCCTAGCCACTACTTTTACCTACATGCTGTCCTGAGTTGGGCCCTGCCCCTAAACAAATTCTCATCTCATTCCCGCAGCCGCCAACTGGGCTCTGAGCACACCGCCACTCCTCACAGGCTCATGGCTGTCCTCACGGCACACACAGGCTGGCTTCATTTGCAGTGAGTGTCTCATCCTGATGCACTCCTGTGTCTTGAGCGCTTTTCTGTGCACAGGTTAGACTTGTTAAAAATGAATCACAAATGTGATTTTAAAACATCCTAGGAAACCCCTTTTCTCAACAGGTTTTCTTTCTTTTATCATCGAACTTGAACATGCGTGTGCAGTGATATCACCTCCGGGTCCTGTGGCTTTCCAGTCCACCCGGATGGCGTATGGCACCGCCTTTTAGCTGGCTCCCTTTCCACCTCTATGTTTGGGACCCACAGGGCCAGGCTCACTGTCCTCTGTTCCTCCAACCTCATAGGTCTCTTCTGCCTTTTGGCCTGGCTGGTTCCTGTTCCCTCAGTCTTGAAGCCTCGGGTGAGACAACACTGCCTCCAAGAAGCTCTCCTTGACCACCTCCCCTCCAACCCACTCTCATTACTTCTCTTCCAAGTCTCATTTGTTCAGGGTCCACCTCCACCATGTCCTTCCATGCTACACTGGCAGACCTACTTTTCTGTTCCTCTCATGGCTTCATGATTTTTTTGAGGGCAGGGAATGCATTTTGTCATTTCTTCCCAGCAAGGGCACTGTGGATGTGTCCTGACTAAAACTTACAGAATAATCCCTCTACCCAGGGCTGTAAGGGTTTGCCTCACTCTTGCTTGGAACACTGATTGCTAAGCTGTGTCTGTCCCATCCTCTGATTTAAAAGTTCCTAGAAGACACTATGATAAGTTAAACCCTGTCCCTAAACAATATGACCAGGTGCTAAGCTCCAGCCCTTAGAAGGGGACATAATTTAGAACCAGAGTCCTTACAGAACGAAGAAATTAAAGGTTTCAATATGAGACCATTTGGGTTCACGTTGAATTTTATATTCACTGATGTGTTTTCATCAGAAAAAGGAGATAGAGATTTGGGATACAGAGAGACAGTGAAGACAGTTCTTAATTTGCTGCTGCAAGTCAAGCAATATGCCCCCCCAAAAGGGGAGGCCCCCAAAGGAACACAGCCCTGCTAACACCTTAGTTTCAGATCTTCTGGCATCTAGAATGGTGAGAAAATACATTTTTACTGTTTAAGCTACCAAGCCCATAGTCATTTGTTATAGGAGCCACAGGGCACGAAGGCCAGTACAAACTGTGCTCTTCATTGTCACACACAGTAGGACTTCCATAGAAGGCCTTGCCAGTAGTCATCTGCTCAGTGGGCCACGTAAGACCTGGAATTACCTATAGTGTCCTGTAGTCTCCTCCCTAGCACTTCACAAGTGGTCACACACATTTACTGAGCACCCACTATGTGCCATGGTCTGCAGAAGGCACACACAACCTGTTTATGTAAATTCACATGCTACCTGGGAAGTGGGAGGATTAAAAATAAGTGAGTCACACTGACTTAACATGTATGAGGCTACCACTGAAAAAAAGACTGAACACCCTTCCTTACCTGGGCTTCATACAACACATGGAGCAGGCTCAAGAAATATGTTTACATGGGCCTAGAGGTGAGAAGAAGGAAAACAAGGAGGGACTGTGGTTTGTTTTACATAAGGCATGGAGGAGGGCTTCCTGAGGAGGCAGCCCATGAGCTGAGGCTTGAGGAAATAAGAGTATCAGTCAACAGATTCTCGGAAGGAAGAAAAACTACAGGTGGATAGCCCCATACCAAGAATGTGTTGGAAACCTCCAGTCACAGCCTGGAGCCCTTGGTGTCTGGGACATCCAGAGGAAGCCAGAGCTGGGGATGGTGTTAGAGGCACAGATCTGAATCTGCATCCAGGTTCTTGTGTCCTATGGCAAGGAATTAGACATGGGGCACATGATTAGAAACAGAAATAGGGATGGTCTATTAAGAAAAGGAGAGGAAGCCGGGCGGTGGTGGTGCACGCCTTTAATCCCAACACTCAGGAGGCAGAGGCAGGCGGATCTCTGTGAGTTCGAGGCTGGGCTGGACCGACAGCCTCTAAAACAATACAGAGAAACCCTGTCTCGTAAAAACCAAAAAAAAAAAAAAAAAACGAAAAGGAGAGGAGTGGGGGGTTGCTAGTGAGCTGGGCCATGAGCAACACCTATAATAGGCCCACGTGAACATATTTCTTGAGCCTGCTCCATGTGTTGTGTGAAGCCCAGGTAGGGAAGGGCGTTCAGTCTTTTTCTGTTAACCAGCTTCTTTCATATGCTAACTCTACTATTCTGGCATCGAAAGGTCAGAGAGTTTGCCACGGAATGTTCAGAGAGCCAATAGGTCATGGTTGAGTGTGACGGGACCTGCCCAGGGTTGTGGAAGGAGGGACTGAGGGAAGTAAGTCTGTGAGAAAGCTTCTGAGCACCCAGGGACAGGAGTTGGTCCAGACAGGTGACCTCAGTCACAGCAGAGCTGACCAAGAGGGGAAGACAGGGAAGTGTGGGACAGGAAAGAAAGAACAGGAAAGGAGGAAAATGGCAGGGCAAAAACAAAGTATGTGCTTGACAGATGGGGGAAATCCAATCAGCTGTTGTTGATGTGACT